ATTACAAATCACACATTTAGTCTGCTGTGTCAGAATCAAGGACACTACAAGAAAATTCACAAAAAATAACGAGCCTGATTTCATAGGGGTTCACAAGAACTGAACCCACAACCAGGGAGCCTGCATGAGACTGACCTAGGCCCTCTACATATATGTACAGTTGTAGACCTTGGTCTTCTTGTGGGACTCCTAACAGTTGTAGCAGGGATTGTCTCTGACTCTTTTACTAGCTTTTGGGACCCTAATCCTTATACTGAGTCACCTTGACCAGCCTTAATACATGGGGAGGTGCTTAGTCTTACTGCAACTTGATATGCTATGTTTTGTTGAGATTTGTAGGAGACCTGCCCTTTCCTTCCCTAAACAGAAATGGAGGAAGAGTGGGCTGGGAAGTAGGAACGGATGAGAGGACTGGGAGGTGAGGAGGGAGGGGAAGTTGCAGCTGGGATGGAAAACAGACATATATGTAAATATGTACACACACACACACACATTAAAAAGAACCTATGAAAAGACAATAGAGCTTTGCCCATGTTCCTCAGGAAGGCCGGAGGCAGCGAAGGCAGCCAGAACTGTTTGCCCAGAGCCCCTCTCCTTGTTCTCATCTGCTCAGCTTGATTATCTCACACCCAATGCAAACTCTCGTATTTCCATCCCTACTGTTCCTGACCAGACCTTACAGCTTTAACACTAACATCCTTTGGACCCTAAAGCTTGTCCCCTAATTGCATGGGTGTGGTGGATTGAAGCTGGCCTCAGTCAGGTCAGCAGCTTAAGACAATGATGGAAACGGAGACGTAGCTTCCAGAAATCAGGCACTGTGCACTTGTTTACTTCACTGTCTCTAAGAACTTGCCAAAAAAAAAAAGAAAAAGAAAAAACTCCACATAATTTTCTTGCTTTTTAAATACTCTTTTTATTTTTGTAATTTTAACGGTTTGTGCACATTGGGTGCAGTACCTGCAGACGCCAGAAGAGGGTTCTGACCCCCTGAAACTGATGTTCCAGGGAGTTCTGAGTCTATCAACCTGGGTATTAGGAATAGAATCAGGGTGTTCTGACAGAGTGTACATGCTCCTGGTCACTGACTCGCCCCAGCCTCTATTTCTTACTTAAATAGCTTTCTAACAAAGCTGCCTACTGGATTCACTTTTCAAAGTTTAAAAAGTCAAAATGGACACTCCACGATCAACTAAAATGGATTGTTTAAAGCAAAAGCAATTTTTGTAAAATTATGTGCATGCATGTGTGTGTGTGTGGGTGTACACATGTGAGTGCAGGTGCCTGTGAGGCAGAAGTGACTGTTGGGTCCCCTGGAAGTGGAGTTAGAGTTGTTCCTGTAAAATACATTCTTTCTTGTGAGCCTCCTCCCATGTGTGCTGTGAACCGAGCACAGGTCCCCTGGAAGAGCACTGCACACTCTTAACTGCTGAGCCATCTCTCCAGCCCCCAAAAGTCGTCTAGGAAATTACAATGTGCAATCTGGGCAGTGAACAACTACATAAACTCAGCTAGCTCATAATGTAAGCAGTCATAATTAGCATTTTGAGTGACTACTTTATGCTGGGCAATTCACATAATCATCACTATAACTCTGAAGTAGATATGTTAGTCATAGAATATCACAGGTGTGAAAAGTAGGGCTTGGACAGGCTGAGACAGAGCCGGCACTACTAACTTATCATTCTGTCTCCCGAGGTGAACACTTCATACACACCATAATACTCACCCTGGCCCAGCAATGGTTCCTGTAAAATACATTCTTTCTTTCATAGGGCAAAACAGGTCATTGATATGCAAAGAGTTCATCCCAGCATTCCTTAAAGATCACATAAATTCCTTCCATGGAAGTTGAGAATAAGTTTCTGAAAACTTTTAAAGATTTTGGGAAGTGAACATTACAGAGTAATACATCAATATTCTGAGATGACTATTTTGTCAAGCAGTTAAGTCAGTCTACCTCCTCTGAATAAATAAGCTTTAAGTTTTGGAACAGACATCTTGGGTACTTTGAGACTGAATCAGAGAAGGCAGAATCTAGGAAACAGGCAGTGGATAGCACAGGCAGGTAGCCTGGGGGATCGCTGGTGTTTACAAACATGACAAGCTACAAGAATGAGAACAGAAGGCTGGTCAGCTGGGAAGAGTCCAAAAGCTGCAAGACAGGTGGGGTGAAGGCCACACCCTGTGCCACCAACACTGAGTCAGTAGATAAAAGGCGACCAATTATTCAGTAATGCAAACATCTTAAAAGTAAACACAAAGCAAATAGTCTCTATTTCATATTTCTAAACCTCTTCAAGCATAAAGTAATGTTAGATCTTGTTTTATATAAGTTTGTTGAAAGTATATAAATATTTGTATATCAGAAAACTCTATTAATTCACTAAACAGCAAAAAGTCTGATACCGAGGTTAGTTGCCATGGTAACTTCTCTAAGGTAAATAAGCCATTGTTATTCTTTATGGAATGTGTGATTTTTCATCATTCATCATCACATAATGAACGTACAGGACTGGCACTTAACTGCAATTGACCCAAGGAAAAAGTCCTCTCATTAGAACAAGTGAACAAAGGGAAAAGAATTTCTACGCATAAATAGATCCCCCTTGCTTCACTCCTTTTCTGAATCATTATTCCCTTACGAAAGCTGAAAGGAGGACAAAAGGCCCCACCCATTTGTCAGGTCAGAGCTGTATCCTGCCTATAAAATACCAGTCTGTACCTTCAGAGCTAATTAGCTAAGAAGCTCCAAAGAGAAGCTTTGCAACCCAAAAATTTAAAGAAGTTTGCATTTGAATTTTAAGTTTACATGAAGATTAAGCATTGAAATGCCCTCATAATAAAATGGATGTATAAGTTTTAAGATTTGTGTGTGTGTGTGTGTGTGTGTGTGTGTGTGTGTGATAAACTGAGTATGGGAATTCCTGTGCTATGACACTCAGAGGGAGACAGGGGACAATTTCTGGAAGTCAAATCTTTTCTACATCATGGTTTCCAAGGACTGAAATCAGGTCGAGACTGGTACATGCAAGAGCTTTAACCTGCTGAATGTTCTGGCTAGCTCCTGACAGATACAAATTTTAACAGTACTAGCATGAAATTTGGTATTGGTATGAAAACACTCCAATTTGGTTATAGTCAGGTCATTCTTCTGTCACATGACTTAAATGAGTTCACCTGTGATGAGTTCCTAACCACAAATATACCAATATTGAGACTAACTACCATATGAATAGATAGCACAAAGGGAGGGATACCTGAAAAAACAGATTCTAGAATTATTCTCCATCTTCTATTATAGAAATTTCAGTGTTTTCATGATTATCCTTAAATTTGGCTGAAAGAAACACAGAAAATATTTACCCATACCATTTAATTATTAGAGCTGTAAAATTAGCTTTAAAGTGAACTTAAGTTACTGCAAAATATGTTCCAGAAAACCAGGAATTAATAATACCGGAAGGTTGCTTTGAAAAGACTGCATGGAAAGATTACTAGGATTTACCTTAGATTGGTCAAAACTGCTATCAGCAATTTCATATAGTTCAATTGGGAAGGAAAAACTGCTACCATATCCTATGACCTAGCAAGCCCAATTGCATAGACAAAAAGCTGCTGCAGAAGAGGATGTCCTCAACTCTGCCACATGCATAACACGATCAACATACAGACGAAAGGCGCCAGCTCTCCACACTCAAAGGTGCTACTGGTGAGCAGGAACTGAGTCCAATCCTGACTTCATTGCCACAATGCATGTTAAAGCCACAGAGAACTGGGGGTGAGAGGCCGGAAGAGTCTGAAATAACATCTTCACACAAAAAGCAGCAGCCAAAGGTTTCCAAATGATACCCCCAAATGTCTTTGTTCACTTTTATCATGTCTACTTCCTACAGAAGTTGTTGAAGGCAAACATTAAGAATGGTCTGGGAACAGTGACAGCAAGACTGGAATCCCAGCTAACCTGGTGCCTGAAGTGAAAAGAACTGCAAGTTCAGGATTGAACAACTTAATGACACTATCTTAAAAATAAAAACAAATTAGTATGTATGATGTTGAACACCTATTTATCATCTATCAGTTGCCAAGCAGAGGTAGTAGGGTCAGGAGTTCAAAAGTCAGGCTTGACTAAACAGTGGACTCAAGGCCAGGTTGGCTTATGTAAGACTCTTATTCCGAAAAAATCAAAAACAAACAAGGTTGTGAATGTAGTTCCATGCTAGCTCTCCCAGGATAACCAGGCCTTGAGTTTAATGCCCAATACCAAAACTAAAAGAGTAGGTAGAAACTCCAGTGACCAGCTACGTCAGAAGAAACTAGTCAAAGTAAATAATGCTGACTTTGTTATAAGACAGAAGCTGACATTTTATTAATGCACAGCACAAATATAAAGGGAGCACTGGTAGCTCAGTGGCTGAAGTCTCTCCTCCTAGAACACAACAATCCAGTCATCAAATGACTGCTTAGGAAAAACTAACCACATCAAATATGGTATGAAGAGATCCCAGACCTAGTTCAGAAACGTTTCATTGAAGACACTTGGTTTTCTAATGAGGAAAGGGCTTTTTTATCCAGTTTCCGCAACAGACTGCAGTGTCTGACTGAAGAGCATCCCCTATAGGCTCACATCTCTGAGCACTGGTCCCCGCGGCTGTCTGGAAAGGTAATGAAACCTTCAGGAGCTGGTGCCTGCTGGAGGAAGCACTACTACAACGGGCGGGCTTAGGGTTACAGCCTTACCTTTCAGTTCATTCTCCCTCTGCGTTTCCTGTCTGCAGCCGAAGAAGTGATTTCTCAGCCTCCTGCTCCAATAGTCTTCTGCCATTATGGACTCTGCCTCTAAACTGTAAGCCAAAATATACTTTCTGCCCTAAAATTCTTTGGTCATGGTCAACAAAAAGTGGCTAATATACAGACTCAAACACATGTATAATTCATCTCCTAAAGTCATCCCCATTTTTAAGCCCAACATGCTAAGACCTAAAGCAATTTACACACTCTACACGATTTTCTTTTTTTTATTTTTTAAAAAAAAGACAGATTTAGGATTTGGTAAGAAATTACTGAGTTACATTTTTTTTAAATCTGTGAAATGCTACAATAATGGAGTAAATAAATAAGATTTTTAAAGTTCAATGTTTACAGACATATTATAAAAATGACTGAATCAGAAGACATTAGATAGTGTTGGTACACACCAGGAAGGAATCTGGGCAAGGAAAGGCACATGATTCCACCACAAGAAATAAAGACCACAGTTGGAAGTCAGTGGGTAGCCAGAGCGTTAGGTCTTGTGGTGGTGGGACCCCCAGCTCTGGGGGTCCCTATTGGTAGGACCTCCCATATAGTACTTAGCTGAAAAAAAAGCAGTTGGGGAATTGACTGTGATTCTTCTCTGTTAAAAAGAAAGTTCTCTTTAATAAGCCTGGTGTGTGGAGGGGAAGCAGCAAAATTTTACAATGGTTTGGTGACACTGAAATCCTAATGAATTTCAGATTTTTTTTTTCAAAAAAAGAAAGTATAATATAGCAAGATTAAACAGCTTTTTTCATTGAATTGAAATTTTGCAGTTAAAAGCTACAATTTCAAGTAAACATCATTTTTCACTTTTTTTTCTTGTAGACAATCACAGTATAAACAGCTGCCATATTTTATCTCAGATGAAGCAATGTACCAAAGTTTCAGGACAAGGATGCTAAAAATAATTTCCCAATTTTATGTTCACGAATCTTTCGGAACACTGGTTCTGCTAGCTGACTGGTATCAACAACAGGAAAGTAAACATGAAGTTTCAACAGAGATAACAGATCTCACAGAGAAATTAGTTTCTAGTCAACACAGTTCCTACACTACTGGACTTAGCAGACATCAGCAGGCCCAGTGCTAGGTCTGTTTTCCATTGCCAATGCTCCTTCACAAAGCTAGGTTGCATCTCTACAGTTCTGTCTGAACAGTCTGGTGAAAAGACTGACTTACTCAAAGGAAGCCACACATATTTTAAGTGGTATTTACTGTGCATTTAGTGGCGTATATAAACAAAAGGGACTTTTAGGATAAAATGTCATATCCACAAAAATAAAATTTAAAGACAATTGAGAGGACGGCAAGGGAAAACTTCAATAGTAAAAAAATTATTAAAAATCATCAAGCAGGCTGCTTCCCATTCATGCCACACGATAGGCCTTCATTAAGGTGTACTCTTTCCGGTTGGTGTGCGCAGCCCAGATGAAGAGAGCAGATGCCATGAACTGTAAGGGAGCCGAGACGCAGGCCAGGCAGAAGGACCATCCAAATTCTCCGGATACATTCTCAGGCAGCCCTAGTTTCTGGTGGAGTAGTTCAATGCCAGCAACATAACAACTCACAGTGCCCAGTGTACACAAACCTTAGGAAGAAAGTGAGAAATCAGAACGTGGCTGCACAACAGCACAGAAGCAAGCATCTCAAAGGTGTGACAATACAATGAATGTTCACAAGTTACAATTCCAATGCCTAAGAAGACAGGAGAATCCAAAGAATTGACTAACCCACCTGCAAGGAGATGGAAGATGCCCGTGGCAATGGTGGGATACAGGCTGCGGCAGATACAGGCACAAAGTCCAATCAGAGCCCCGAAGCACATCAAACCCAAGCTAACAAAAGGTAAAAGAAACTGGCAACGCCAAAGATCTAGTTTTAAAAAGAATAAAAAATTATTTCAGACCATTTTTCTACAATGGCAATTTCTTTTATATCCTAAGGGATTAACTAGAGCTTTTCTTGGAGGGTGAGAAATGAGTATTTTAATATCAAGGCCTTAATATTCAAAAGGATTCCATTTTTTTCCTGAAAACAAATAAAGAGCCACTAAGGCAGTTAAAATACCATGCAATGTTTGCTATTCACATACTTGAGTTAATCGTCCCAAAAGCCTACACTATTGGGTGCTACTACTATTTGAGGTTTTTTGTAACTGAAGGAACTAAAACCAGAGGCATTAGTAACTTATACAAATGAAGAACGGTGAAGAACCAAGATTTAAGTACGGTAAAACATCATTTCCTTCTACAGACAGATAGAATGAAAGTGTTTGCATGATCAAAGGCAGGTGATAGCAAGAAAATAAACGGTGATTACAAAAGAGGACACAGTGGACACAGAGTGTATCAGGCTTAGTGGTAGATATAAATCCCATAAATTCTCCTTTGTATTCATTTTGTTTTCTAGAACAGCATACAAGTCTTTATTTGTAAATATTATGCCTTCCCTTAAAACTCTGCTCCCAAATATACTCCTTTCTCTCATTCTCACTGCAAGGATTCCTTTGAAAACACCATCCTGAAAATTGTAGCTCAAATCTGAAGATGCCATCTGATTGGCAGTCTAACTATGGAGGAACGGAATGCGTGTGATACTGTTTCCATCTACTCTTTGGCTACTACTACCTAGGATCGGAAGAGTCTTGCCAACAGGCCTGATACTGAGCCCTTGAGTGCTTGGGCAACTTCTACAGGTATGCTCATGTGAGCTCAGGCAATGGGAGCTGACATGTCAAATACTGAAGTTTATTCTGTAAGCCTAATAAATTTCCCCTTATTTGGGACCAAAACCATCTTTTGGAAATCAAGACTCACCCTCCACTCTATTAGCTCCCTCAAATGCAAGTTAATTGAAGTTTACTAAGTATGTTTCCGACCTCCAGATAATATTAGCCACGGAACAGAGCTTACTGGATGCTGCAGGGAAGTTACTTAATGCTGACACTGTGCACTAACATTCTAGAAACAGAGTTCAATCAAACACATATTCTTTCAACTGTCCTGCTAAGAGTCAAGTACTCACAGGTCCGAAGCAGATCAATTCCACTATTGTGATTCCCAGGATCAACATATTTCTCCATGAACTGTTCATTTAGTGTGAAACTCATGCATTTTGTAACCACGTCAAATGACTCTGGAAAAAAACAATGAATGCACGTTATTTTCATAAAAAACATGCCAAAATAATCTCTTTCGGTAATTATCTTATGAAGTCAAAGGTGATGCAAAAGACATTCCCCAGGACATACATAATCTCTGGCCCCCAGTGACACATAGGTCACTCCGTTGCCATCTCTGAGTCTCACTGATTGAGACACAAGAGAAAAAAAGGTAACAGTTAGAAGGTATGTTAGTAACGAAGAAGGTATATTAGAAGACTGGGAAATATGGACAGGAACATAAATTCTGAAGAATTCTGATCTTCGCCCCTAAACTTACTATCCCAGCCATAGTCCTCAGAGATGACACATGTCAACTTCTCTAGGTTCTCTTGTCCATATACATCACAACAGAAAATCCTTAAAATAGCTCTTTCTTCGAAATATATGCAAGATCCTGCTACAACCCAAGTTGCTATGTTGGTCTGACTTACAATGATCTCTCACTTGCATTACAGCAGCCTACTAACTGATCCAGAGCTGCATGGGGTTTCTGTGTACAGACATCACCCAGAGTGAACAGGACAGGTCCCTCCTCTGTTCAATGTCCTTCCTCTCAATGCCCCTCTACAGTCTGCAAGGTGTTCAGAAAACCTAGTGTCCTGCATGAACTGTCCCACTCCCACATTCCCAGCATATGCTTCCATGTCCTCTAAGTAGAACTGGAGGTTTAACAATAAACCTGTGCTCCCTTGCTTTGCATGTTACTTCTATTTTGCATACATGGTATAAGACCATCTTTTAGTACATGGTAACTCAAGTGTATTCTGTTAGATATGATTGTTGCATGGAGGGGCTCACTTGTTCTTTCAGGCCGTCCAGTTAGCTTAGCCCCAAAATAACCACACAGAAATGGTATTAATTAAATTACTGTTTGTCCCATTAGCTGTAGCCTCTTATTGGCCAACTCTCACATCTTGATTTAACCCATTTCTATTAATCTGTGTATGGCCATGTGGCAGTGGCTTACCAGGAAAGATTTAGCATGTCTGACTCTGACGGCGGCCATGGCAGTTCTCCCAGCTCTGTCCTTCTTTCTCCTAGCATTCAGTTCTGTCTTCCCTGCCTACCTAAGTTCTGACCTATCAACAGGCCCAAAGCAGTTTCTTTATTAACCAATAAAAGCAACACAAAGACAGAAGGACTTTCTACACCATATGAATACAATACTTTCCCAGTACAAGGTCAAAGAAGTAAATATAAACAAAAATAAACTGTAAAATGTTTTTATGAAGAATGCTAAGATTTCCAATTTAATACCTGCCAATTAAAATAGTTGTGTTAATAAGAATGATTGAAGAAGCTAGACCGTGGTAGTGCATACCTTCAATACCAGCACTTGGGAGAGAGAGGTAAGTGGATCTCTGTGAGTTCAAGGTCAGCCTGGTCTACAAGACCTAGTTCCAGGACAGGCACCAAAGCTACAGAGAAACCTTGTCTTGAAAATAAAAATAAATTAATAAATAAATAATAAAGGATGGAAGAATAAATCTGAGAAACAACTTAGATTTTTTTCCTGCAGTATCTTTTAGGTTATTAACTCTCTATAATTGTGCAAGTCATATATATACACAAGTCATATATATATACAGATTTAAAAGCAGAGTTGATCAAACTATGTTCTCTAAAATACAAGGAAAATGATAGATACCTACTATATGTAGCTAATCGTTGGTTTGGGGCTTGTTTGGCTTTTCGAGACAGAATTTCCCTGTGTTGTCCTGGCTATCTCAGATCTTGTTCAATAGACCAGGATGGCCTCAAACTCAGAGATCTGCCTGCCTTTGTCTCCAAAATGCTGCGATTAAAGGCATGTACCACCACCACCTGGCTAACATAGCTAATTGTAAGAAGACAATCAACTCTAATTTGTTGACTTGATTTTGAATACCACTTCGTCCAGAAATTATCAAATACCTAAAATCTTCAAATGAAATGAATAAAAAATTTCCTAACTAGTAAATACGAGGGTTCAAGTAGCTTTCCCAAAATTAAGAAGTTACTGTTCCAACTGTTATCAGTGAGGACAATGAGAACGAGAAAATGGTGGGAGAAAAACAAACACAGATTTCTCAAGGCACAGCCCTGTTTATGCATCACCGAGTAATGATTATTAAATCATAAAGGAATGAGAAATGGAAATGAAGACTACCTGTCCTTTCTGGTGGAGCATACCAGTACGTGTTTTTGGGTACCGTGATACACCGTCTCCACAGTCCCATCGTGCCGTTATATCGGAACAGGGCATCATTGTAAGTCTTTTCATCTGCCTCATCACCAAGGAAGTCATCCCAGGCTACTTTATTCGAATCACTTGAATTTTCTTGAATCGGACTGTGATATTCATACCAGAAGTCTGTGCCTATGGAGGCTGCCATGTAGATGGTGGAAATGAGGCTAAGCACACAAGCAATCACAAACGCTGTAGCAAAACGGTTATCCATTCTGGCATTCAGACTGCTCTGTTTAAGTCGAAGAAAGAAGGAAAGTTAGACCTCAAGAACAAATAAGAAGATAACTTTTTAAAACACCTCAAACCACCCTATTTCCCATCCCTTCTTCTTTGTAAGGCAATGCATTTATCATTTTAAAAATTTACAAACAAAAAAGGGCAAATGTTAAACTTAAAACAAAACTCATTCTCATGAAAGTACTTATTGAATGCTCACATACCCAGGATGCTACGGAGACAGAAGTCTTGGTCTCTAGTCTATCACCTGCATACTAAAACAGACAACACTGAAATGGACATACACATTACAGATACAAACAACAGACATGCCCGTGGCCAGCAGTGTAGCGTGCACACATTAACTGCAGGTTGAATTTTTACAGACGCTACAAAATGTGAAGTGCTTAGGGTCTGGGTGAGAAAGAGGCGGAAGAAGAGGAAACTAGGACCCATCTGCTCTCTGGTGGGAAGGCTTCCAAAATAAGGGCAGGAGTGAGGAGTTGTTTGAAAATCAGAGATGAAGGTGTTAACCCGAAGGGAAAGTTTGTTTTAAGTGTATGTCATAGCAAAGAGACCAATAACATCGTTAGGTATCAATCTCCCCCAATCCAATTAAAGCTAAGCCAAGCTTCCTGACACAGCTTCTTACTCTCCCCATCCCTTACATTTCTAACCTCCTGAACTGCAATCCTCCTCCCTAAACCCTAAAGTATAGCACGTATCCATAAAGACTAAACGATCCCTACTCGCAAATAGAAAGGTGAGTTAGGCAAAATCTGAACACTCCCTAGGAGTGGACAGGGCTCCATGGCAGTAGTAAATGGCCGCGGTAAAACGACTCCGGGCGGATCACGCTGAGTCAAACCCTGCCAAGTGTATGTACACCGTGACCGCACCGAACCCCTCGCAGAAGCACCCGACAACAGGCTCACAAACTGGGAAGCAGAGTTTGGGAAATGAAAGTGACTCCGGAAAGACCGGGGAGACTGCAATAATCAACAATAATTGATTATTAACTCAGTAACTGCGGTTTGTGATTTGATTTTCAAAAATCTCGTCCATCCTGGTGCTCTCGGATGACCTTAAAGGCCGGGCTCTGGAAGCTGCGCCTACCGCGGTCACCCTGGGCCTGTGGTACAGCAGGGCCTGGCATGGGCAGGCTGAGGCTGGCTGGGCTGGGTTGGGCGGGGTGCCCTGGGTACCCGAGCCCAGCCAGCCCCAGCCCCCTCGGCCCAGAGACCCGCCCCTCCCGCCCCGCCCGCCCGCCCGCCCGCCGCTCCAGCCTCCCGGCCCGGCCGCGCCGGCGAGGGGCCCTCTCTCCACGCCGCGACCCGTGCTGGCCCGCGACCCCGCGCACTCACCGCCCATCCTCTCACTCCACCGGCTTCGCCCTCCAGCTCCGACCACAGCACCCTACTCTCCCCGCGCCTCCTCTGACGCACTTCCCTGCAGAGCCCGCCCCCTCCATAACTCCCGCGCCTCCGCCTCCGCCTCCACCCAAGGCCGGGCCAAGGCGAGCCTGGGCCGTGGGGTCTTGTGGGAGTTGTAGGAAGACCGGAGGAAAAGCTGCTAGAGGCGGCGGAGAGCATGCCTGGTGCCGCGCGGGGCGTTGTGGGCAATGTAGTTCTTTCCGAAGGCAGAGAGCAACGCAAAGCGGAGGTCCTGACTGAGGGATTGTTACGCCTCAGAAAAGGAGGGACCAAGCTCCAAAAAGTGAAGGGGGAGGGTCTTTGATCACCCATAGTCAAAGACTGTGATTAACGTGACTCAGGTCTAACTTACGGTCTTGCGCTTTCCCTACCGTAACACCGTACCTCTAAATATTACTACTACTGAGTAGATGAACATTAATGGCACTCTTCTTCAAATATCGACACCCCCCTCCCCATTTCTGACATACTCCCTTCCATTTGAGCAAAGAATTCTTATGTTTTGTTTAAATCTGGCTAAAGATGTAACCCATCATATCATGACTATGCTAACGATGTAATCTTTTAAGATATAATTATGTTATTTGAAGAAATCCGTCATTTGTTCTCTACTTCGGTAAAGTTTTATTTTTAAGCAAGTTTCAATTGGTTTATTTAAAATTTGTAAATCCTGACGATACTAGATGTCAAAAACGTGACTTTAAAGTGTGAATGTAATATGAAATGGAGTTCGGAGAACATCATTTCCAGCAGAAAAGTCAGAGACAGTAGACTGGGCTGCATGGAAGCAATGGGATGATTCTATGCCCGCAAATATTTCTCAGCAGGTAGTAGAAACTTTTTCTTTTTTAGTTATAAAGAAAAACATTGGTCTTTGGCTCATGGTTCTGGTTCACCATCATGGGCTGTGTCTCGAAACGGACTTTTGGCTGGCAAATGGATTTCTTGAGGAGCACGTCATCACATGGAGAGGTGTGATACTTTTTTGTGTTTGTAGAGCCTACCTCAAAGAAGCAAGATGTTAGCCAAATACACCATCACATCCAAATGGCGTGACTAGGCTTTCATGTACAACATGAGATCAAAAAGCAATTTTGCCTCAGGCCTCAGCTTGAGAGCTTGATGGGTGTGCACAAGTGAATAGTGACTGTAACAATCAGACTTGTGAATACATGTATGTGCCAGCCATTTTCACCCAATGGCCTTCATTAGAAGTCTTCTTCCTGGAGGAACATGCTCAACCGGTGCTGGTAAAAGGAACATTTCAAGAAGAAAAGAAGATGCAGCCTAAGTTTATAGACAGAGAAACTGAGGCCCATGAAGATTAACCAACTAGGGCAAACGTGAACTCTGAGGTAAAAAAACTAATTTTATGACTTTGGACAATTTACTTAATAATTTTTAAGATAGGACTGTCTTTTTTTCAACATATGGATTTTTGAAAATAGCATCTATCCTATGAGATCATCATGAAGCTTAGATAAGAAAATATACAAAATATCAGGCAATGGATGTTGTGGAATATTAGTTGAAGATGTGTTACATTTGTTTATCCTGTGGAATCCTTGTTAAATGATGCAAAGATGTGTTGCATTCTTCTATGTTGCATTTGTTTAACTCTGTGAAGATGTGTTACTTTGCCTGCCTAAAACATCTGGTTGGTCTAATAAATAGCTAAATGGCCAATAGCTAGGCAGTAGAAGGATAGGCAGGACTGCCAGGCAGAGAGAATAAGTAGGAGAAGGAAGAAGAGGGAGTGTTGCTGGGTCCTAAGGGCTCCCACGGGGGAGGGGATGAGAAGGGGTGGCATCAACAGCATAGACTTAGGGAATCAGGTAAAAGCCGAACAGCAGACTTGTTTATTCAGCATTGGGGAGTGAAAAGTTTTTGTGCCCCAATAAGCCTCTCCAAATCAGACCAAATCAAACCGAATTAGAAAAATAACCAGGTTTAATGGATACCAATGTTCCCTGGTAGCCCTCCAGTCTCCCAAAGAGAAGATAGGAAGGAAGACCAGAAAACCACGTGTTTGTTCTATGGGATACAATTTAAATACCCTGTGGGAGTGGTCCTGAGCATCTCTGGGGAGGGGTCATCATTTGGCAGGTTTTCTCAGGGGTGGAGTCAAGACCAAACATTCTAGAATCTTTGGATATATGGATGCCAGAGGCTGGAGTGACACTTCCACTGGAAAAAGGTAGGACCTTAGAGACCCTCCTGCCAACACCCAGCCTGCATTCCAATCTATTGGCATTGTGTGGTCACCCCTCATTGGCTAGGCACAATCAGGATCTCTGACAGTATCTGTTGCTAGGCCCTCAGGCAGACTACAAGTTAGCTCATCTTTCAACCTTGTGGGCTTTATCTTCCTACAGGCAAGGAGTGAGAAAAAGAGGAGAGGAGGATGGCTGAGGCCAGCGACACAGCCACACAGCTAAACAGCCAAACACAAAATAAGAAGGAAAGAAAAAAATATACAGAAACAGAGAAAGGTAAAAGCCCAGAAGCAAAAGGTAGATGGGATACTTAGTTAAGAAAAGCTGGCAATAATTTCAGCAATCAGGAGGCATAGGTAGGCAGGTCTCTATATGTTTGAGGCTAGCTGGGTCAACAGAGTTCCAGGACAGGATCCAAAGGGAGAAACCCTGTCTCAAAAAAAAAAAAAAAAGGAAAGAAAAGAAAGAGAAAAAGAAAAAAAGACAGAAAGAGAGACTGAGAAGGAGGGAAC